AAGCTTGTAAAGCTCTCTGGCTACCAACAAACCTGGCGTTCTGTTTCCTGCGTCGTCACCACAGTTTAACTACATTGATCAGGGATATGAAAAATTCACACCCCTGAGCAGCGTTGTTAAGCCAACCTAAATCCCTGTATAGACAGCGCTTGGTCAAAGAAAGAATTCTTCCATCAGCCTAACTACTGCCTCTCGGGGAGGTGGATTACCTACGCCAAGAGGAGACACCCTCCTATTGGCATAGGAAATATCTACACTGAAGTGTTACAACAGTGCAGCAGAGCAGCACAGATGTGCCGCTGTAGCATTCTAAGTGTAGACAAGCCCTTATTCAATCTCCTCTCTACTTTTCACCCCGCATCCAGCCTGTTGATAATACCTACTTGTTCTTCCTCTGAAATATGTGCCAAATCCTCCGCTTCCTTTCACCCCACTTCCAAAACCTCTGTCAAGGCCCTTGTTATCTCTCATTTTGAATACTGCAATCTCTTCACTAGCATTCACAACTACAGTAACTCCTCACTTAACAACCCAGTTATATTCTTGAAAAATGCAACTTTAAGCGAGACGATGTTAAGTGAATCCAATTTCCCCATAAGAATGAATGTAAATGGGGGGAGGTTAGGTTCCAGGGAATTTTTTTTCGCCAGTGTGACGCTCTCTACCTCGGGGGAACACCCTACACCCTTTAATGTTTTCTCCTTGAGGAACTGCCAGCTCTCCTCAATTTCTTTTTCCCTTAGATTTTCTTCCCATCTAAAGGTTGAGTGTTTGACTTTGCAAACTTCATATTATTTTAATATATTTTTAAAATAATAAATTAACATTAATTTGGCAAGCGCTATGTGTGACACTCTGTAACCCAAAGCAACACCCTGGCACCCGCATATTAACCACTATCATATAATTGTGATATGTTTTGTACAAAGTATGCCTTGTGAGATATAATTTTAAAAGTCTTGATCTATTCAACATTAATATCCTGTTGAATTGTATGTGCTATCATTGTATGTGGAGTTATGAAGTTTTGCTATGTGTATGTTACTAAAATATGTTGTGAAGTTGGAAACACCCACAACTAGTCTTTCAGGTACAACAACGGGGCAGCCAGACACTGAAGATGGCCCATTACATGGAATACACACTCACAAGGACTACCCCAGGAACTGTATACAATGGAAACCTCTCAGAGACACATGTAGACAATGGAGACTGCTTGACTTAGGTCATAGCAAAAGATCTTTCCAGCAAGCTGGAGGAAACTATAAAGAAGGGGAAGTGACATCATCATTTGTCCTGACTCCCCTCACAACACAACACCTGGAAACATGTCTGGAGAACAATGACTTTGAATGAGGGAGGTGGTCCCAGGCCGGAAAGGAGAATCCCAGTTTGTGTATACCATCAGGGTGAGAGACTGCTTCATCCAAATCATGTCTAATTTATAGAACTGAGATTGCGATTTTACTTTTATTTCCTAGGTAACCAACTTTGATCTGTATACTTATTACTTATAGTCACTTAAAATCTATCTTTCTGTAGTTAATAAATCTGTTTTATATTTTACCTAAAACAGTGGGTTTAGCTTGAAGTGCAAGGGAAATTTACTCAGGAATGAGAGCTAGGGCATGTCCTCTCCACATTGAGGGACGGGTGGACTGGGTAATAAACTTAATCTGGTCAGGCTTCTGACCAGGGCAAGATGGTACAGCTCTGAGGTCCTAGCCTGGGGAACTGGCTGGAGCCTCTCTATTGTTGGTTCATAAATGGCTAGAAGAAGCATTCAGGTAACTCATCTGGTTGTGTCCCTGCCTGTGGATGGCTGTGTACGTGAAATACCTGGACGGGTTTGCAGCTTGTCACAGCATCACAGTGTGAGAGGGAGCCCAGGTTGGTGAGACAGAGGGCTCAGCGGTACCCCAGTTCCAGCAGTACCCCAGGGAACCCATCACACCATGCTATTGTGATTATTTAATTCCTGCCAGCATGTTTTTGCCAACAATCATACAAGTTACACATAAAGTTGACTCAGGGGTTTAAGCTTTGCTTTCAAAGTTTTCAAACTCTGGAAGTCTAATGTACTTGCTCACCTCGCGACAGAAACCTCCAATCTCCTGCTCTTTCCCTACAGATTCCCTGATTTACTCTTTTCTTGTCAGTTTTGCTGCATTACCTTTTCTTTAAAAAAGAAAACAACTGGTCCTCTTTTGGAACTGAAGTAAACACCACAAAATAGTATTTAATTAGCCTGACACACGCAAAGTATTTTCTTCTTTCCAATATACAGAGTCTGAATAATCTGAAATGCCCACATTTTATTGTATGCTTTTACATTTTACTTTCTTATGTTTTCTTTATGTGCTTTTATAATGCAGAGCCAAAACTAACAAATCTATATTTGTTTCAAATCAACTGGCTGTATTGGGAGCTTTAGCTATAATTGTTTTTAGTGTGATATGTTTGTATTTTGAGAACATTTTTTCTACATGTTGGGATTAATTTTTTTTTAAATATGTTCCTTTGACCAGCACAAATGTAGGAGCTGGTTCTGACAGGCAGAGAACTCTTGTATTTCCAAAGAACTTGCTGGTATCCAGCATCTGTCTCTGTCAGGCTCATAATGATCATGAAACTGAATATAGACAGATTATGGTCTTCCAAAATCACAAAAGGAGATTACCTGGTGATAATGTAGAGTAGCCAATCAATGTTCATCACAGAAATTAATTTAGTGTGAAGTGTGTTCTGTCTTCAGTGTGTGAGGACTTTGAACAAATAACTCCGATCAAACAAACCATCACAACTTTACACATTAGTACCTGATCAAAAGCTTACTGCAATCGGTGGAAACAATGTCACTGATTTCAATGGGCTTTGTATTATTGCTTTTAAGCCCAGGATTTCAAAGTGGTTTACAAACAGTATATGTCACCACTCTGCAAAGGAAGCAGATATTACTTTACAGCTGGATAAACCACAAAACTTAGACAAACTCGCTCTTGGTTACACCAGCGTTTATCCAGAGTAACTGCATTGATTTCAGTGGATCAACTCTGGATTTATGCTAACATTATGAAGTGTAAAATTTAGTTCAGAGAAGTTAAGTGATATGCCCAAGGGCACAGAGTAAGACAACAGTGAATTTAGGAACAGAACCTAGGAGTCCCTGAATTTCAATATCTCATCTACTCATTAGACCAAAGAGTCTTTCTTGGGAAATCTACAGACCTACGTACAGTTAGTCAGTTAGTTAGACAAATAAATCCTACACACAGGGATGGAAAACTAGATCTGTTCCATCCACCTTCTTCAGTACTGTCAAGCGTATCTAGTATGTCCTGATCATCTATAGATCCCAATGGAATCTCCATTCAGAATGGAAGCCTGATTATTCCAGGGAATCAAATACCCAGGAGATTAAAGGAACAAACCAGTGACTATTTAAAACTGGGATGAACATGCTTGTAGGACAGCTTTACCTGTTGAGACCCATCTACATTTTTCTTGCACTAAATTGTTCTCACCTGGTGGACTCCCATGCCCTGCTGCAGCTGTAGCAATAGCAAATGCAGAAGCAGGAGAAACAGAACAGTGGCTGTTGTCAGCAGTCTGTACTGTAAGGAACAGACAAATAAAGGTCAACAACTTGTATTTGGTTTTAGCTTTTTTTAAAAAGTATATCAATGTTCATATTCTCCACTCCCCCAGCACACACGGTAAAGAGTGAATATACAATACTTTTTTTCATAAGCATGCCTACTTATGTACATATTTTATGTTCTCAATGAAAAGGGGCAAAATATTAAAAATATATTTGTCATTTGATTTTTATCACCAGATCACAATAATAAATAATACTGTTTAACAAAGTGTATGGTGGTGCCAATATGAAGAAAAAAGATTAACCAAACAAAAATGAAAGTTATGATACAACTGCTTAAAAATAATGGTGCCAAAGTAATAGAAGTATGGTTAATTTACTTCTCAATCACATCATTTTCATTAGCCAGCCCAAGCAAAGTAAAAATTGATATTATTTTGAACAAGATTTAAGATTTCTCCCTGGTTGTTAACTAAAATTAGCAGAGCTTTGCAAAACTTACTGGTATCACTTTGCAAGAAGTTTTGTGAACATCTCCTCTGATTTCCATTCAAATGGTTTTGCTTTGCATTTCCAGAGTTTTCAAACCAAAAATTCTGACACATAACCATAAACCATGCCAATAAGTAAAGTTTGGTGTTGGCTTAAAATTAATATTTGTGGTATTTTCCCCCCCAAACAAAATAGTTTGCTTACAATCTAGATTTCAAGAAAGGGCAACATTCTAAATATTTTTGGATACAGCAAGTAGTTCTGTTAGTAATTCGAAAGAGCCATGTGAGAGCTATTAGAAGATCCACCTCTTGCTTTTCCTCTTCAGTTGAATGATTTACTCAATACTGGAATGAATAATCTGATACCATCTGTAAATGTTCAGTGCCACACATGGAGGAACAGACACAGTCGTTTCCCATTAACAGTAATGGGAGTTGTGTATCTAATCATCACATATGGTACCCAAAATGTGCCCCCATAATAGCTCCTGCAAATCTGTTAAGATCTTGAGAATTCATGTAAGAATAGGATTGAGTCAATATTATTCCTGAACTAAGGTACATCCTGTTCCAGATATTACAGATCATTTCAGCACTTCCTAACTCCCAGGATGCTTTTCATTCTCTTGTTATTAATATGCCAATTAACTAGAATACTGTTATTCACATTTTGCCTGCTTTTTTACATCTGAGAAATAAGCAGAGACACAAACTAACCACATTATTTAGAAAATAATCTTTGTAGGAGATTAAAAAGGAATTGGAAATACATAACTTGGTCTCCTTCCAAGGCAATGTTTCTTACCTCCTGGCTGACGGTAGCGGAGATGTCGTGGAGTTGAGGGGGATCGACATGGGGAAAGCTCAGGTGTCTCGACAGTCGAGGTGCTTTCAGGAATTGTCCTGTCCACTGACACAGATTCTAGAACTGCTGCTTTAAAACACCATGAATGTTAGTACAGAGGTCACTATGTTAGTACAGTGGTCACCATTATTTCCATAATTTACAGCCCATTAAATGTGTAAACATTATTTTCAAATATCAAGAGATCTAAACAACAGTGAAACAGCTTTAAGATCTGAAGCTATTTCCTTCTATTTTTCAATGAAAAAGGCTCTTTTTTAAGCACACAGTTTGTACATAAAGTGGCTCATTTCTGAGAGATGATTAGAATGTCTGGAAGAAGTTTATGAAAAGCGCAGAGAATAGCAAGGTTATAATGGATCAAACATATAAAGATATACCGTAATCCTAATAATATGCACGTAGAGCCTGATGCTTCCCTCTGTGAAGTCATACATTTTGTTTCAATGATGGTAGTAAGATCAGATCCATTATATAAAAAGTACATTATACCAATATTTACAATTTAAACCTATTTAAGCCCCATTTAACAAGTATGAAAGTTAAAATTTAGTCTCTTTTATATTTTGCTTTATAGTATTCCTTCTGTAAGCTGACAAGGCAACTTCTTTGAGAAGGCTCAGCAACAATATTCCTCTGGATAGAGGTAAAGGACTCGGAAAATACCAGGCAACTTCACAGGTACCAATGACATAACTGTAACAAAGCCTGTAAATAAAAACTTAATGAAAACCATCAAGTGCTAAAGTGTCATTTTTAAAAACAGCCCTGTCATGATTTTGCATGTCCTTAAGCAGACTATCCAGGGGAACATAAGCATGGTATGGATAGTTTAAATCATAGGATTCACATATCAAGTGTGAGAAAAATATCTTTAGTAAGTCATTATATATAAAATCACAAAACTGCCTACTAATACAAAACTGAACAGCACTGCAGAGCTCATTACTCCATTGAGTAAATTAATGTCCATAATGGTAAGCTGGCAGAATGATGTGTGCCCACACGAAAAATAAAAAATATCTACACAGCTACAAATAATGCTCCTCTATTGCATTCTACAACAGACTTGGGAAAACTGCTACTCTTACAACACAAACACTGTACTATAAGTTTTAAAATGAAATTGTCTACACCAGTAGGCAGATATGCAGAAAAAGCGTTTGGACAGTGGAGAAAATTTCTCTTTAGATGATAAATGGACCATACCCAAGAAGAAATAAAAAACAGCATTGACTTGGAAATTGAATTTGTACAGCCAAATTGGATTCATATTAAGTCTGCTTTTTGGAATCTTAGCAGATGAGTAATGAATTGATCCTAGATAACTACTTATCACTTGTTAATGGTCTCTTTCTTATGCAGAAAACTTATGTTAAGGAAATAACAGGTTAGTACTTTGTATTCCTACCACTGCCATCACTCTAAGGCTGGGTATTTTTTATTCCCTTTCCTTACACTTTCCAGACCTCTGACAAAGGGTACGTCTATACTACAGGCTGGATCAGCAGGTAGTGTTCAGTGTATCGGGGATTAATTTATCGAGTCTCGTCTGGAAACAATAAATCGATCCCCGAATCGACGCCCATACTCTACCTCGGCAGGAGTAAGTGGAGTCAACGGGGGAGCCGCTGCAGTCGACTCGCCGCCATGAAGACGGCCAGGTAAGTCGAACTAAGATACTTCGACTTCAGCTATGCGAATAGCGTAGCTGAAGTTGCATATCTTAGTTCGAACCCCCCCCGCTAATGTAGCCCAGGCCTAAATGACTCTCTCTGGTGAAGAGTGCTAGATACAGTTTCCTCCAAAATCTACCAGTGCAAGTCCTTCAGTTTTCTGGCTCCCAAATCCATAGGTGTTGCAAGCACTGCAAAAATAGAAATTTAACAGATTTAAAAGTTTTATTAAAGCTAATGTTTAAAATATTATATAATACATAGGTTGAGAAAAGAGTGTCTGTACATCTGGGTATAGTGCTTGGATTATCCACAAATACAAAGTTTGTTTTTAAAGTCATAAGATACATATAGTGCATAATCAGCAATAACCCAAATTTAGGTGAATGAATTTAAGAATACAGTTTAGATATTTAGGTATATTGGATGCATTCGGGTACATTACTCATGAAAAAAGTTATACAGAGAGTTGGTGGCAGAAAGCAAAATATATCAATGAGTGAAGACTGTCCCTGAGTAATTGAGAATTTAGGATAGGTTGTCCATTTAGAGAAAAAAACAGTCCATCAGGAAAGTATCTGAGTTACTTCTCCAACTGCACTTCTCATCAGCACTCCAGCTCATCCCTCCTGGTATTGCTGATGTCCGGTGATGTGTTCTATGTAGATGTCCCTCGTCCACCTGACAGAGTCTGACACCATGAGTTGCCACATCAGCCAAGTGTAGTGTTGACCGACTCTACATTTTCTCAACGCTTGCTTGTTACTGGGGTCCCATTCGCCCAGGGCTCCGACGATCAGCGCATGTGTTTGGACTTCGTAGCCCCTAGCTCTCAGGGTGTCGGCCAGAGGGGCGTATTTCTCCACCTTTCGAGATCGGGCGTCGTGGAAATCCGGGGTCCTGTTTTCGAAGTGCACTGTGACGTCCACCATGATGATCTTCTTCCGGTCCTCGTTGGTGGTGACGATGTCTGGTCGCAGTTGGCTGTCGGGGAAGGTGGCAAGATGAGGAAACTGAAGCTAAGTCTGCAGATACACTGCTGGGAACAAGAAGACTCCTGCAGGGCCCTGAGTCAGCAGGGGGAAAGTGCACAATGCAGAAGAAAGCTCTCCAGGCAGGGAGGCCTGGGAGTAGGGTGACCAGGCAGCAAGTGTGAAAAGTTGGGAGTGGGGGAGGGAGGGTAATAGGCGCCTATATAAGACAAAGCCCCAAATATCGGGACTGTCCCTATAAAATTGGGACATCTGGTCATCTTACGTGGGAGAGACCCTGCACAGGAAGCAGGCAAGAGACTGACAGACAGACCCTCAAGAAGGAGGAGGATGTGCCCAGCTGAAACTGGGGTGAAAGCTGCATGAGTCTGTGTTTTGTTTTGAAATACTTTGTATTGGACTACTGGGAAAAAATGAACTAGGCTGGTGGCACCTGAGGCCTAAGTAAGTGGGATCCCTTCTGGGAATTGTTTGGAGTGCTTTGTGAATTGTGCGTTTTTGAAGGACACCTGAAGAGATAGGACAGCCTGACAAGCAGGATGCAGCACAGCAACGTCTGTCCATGAAGGGTGCTCAACAGGCAATCAGAGGCCACACTGCTACACTCTGCAACATCTCATTTTCTGGCATTATATAAGAATAACCCATACTTTACTATTTTAATGTGTAGTGTATAATAGGAATAATATATTATATCCATCTAGGACAGCAGCTATTTTGTGTATAGTTCATTCTACACTTTGTGCCAGATTCTACAATCCCAATGGGGCTATCCTGGTATAAGAGAGAAGAATTTGGTCAACTGTACATAATAAATACTATATTTATGTATTCTAAGAGTATGTTGTGATGATACAAATCTTCCACATTATGAAATGTATGTTAATGTCCAGCCTATAATGTACGTAAATAGAGCTCTATAAAGATTTCAGTTGAGAATTGAACAATGATGATCTAATATAATTCCTAACAATGATTTAGTAACAAAATATAATTAAAGAATGAGCTAAAACATTGGCTGACATACACTACTACACTGCTGAGGTGTGAAATTGGTATTAAGGGACTTAATTGTTTGAGGAGTTCTCTTTGATGTGAGATACAGGAAATGTATACACTAAACAATATATAAAATGGAATAGACTGCAACCATTCACCTTTAATATAGAACCCAGGCTACTCATATCAAGAATCTGCATTCTACATGGACAGAACCCACTGTAGAATTCCACAGAATGCTAATTAGCAACAAAGATTCCTAATCCTCTTCTGCTTCTGATGTCTGAGATTCTGTGGCTCATTTTGGCTGGGAATCATTCCAGAACCATTTTTATTTTGAAAGCTACAGAGTAGACCTTAAATCTAAGGCCTGGTCTACACTACAAACTTAGGTTGACATAAGCCACATTAAGTCGATCTAAAAATGTATGTGTCTACACTACTGAGTCCCTTCTGCCGACCTAAGTGGCCTGTAAAGTTGACTTCTGTACTCCGTGTCCGCAAGAGGCATAGCGCTTGATTTGACATCCACAGGTCGACATGGGAATAGTGTAGACACTGTGTTGTGTAATTTGAATGAATTGGCCTCCAGGAGGTGTCCCACAGTGCTCCACTGTGGCTGCTCTGGAGAGCACTTTGAACTCCACTGCATGTCAGCCAGGTACACAGGAATCAACCACTTTCCTGTTAAAGCCCCGGAAACTTTGGAATTTTGGAGAGCTTGCCAGCACAACTGCTCATGGAGACTCCAGGACGCAAATATGCTCCAGCATGGAGTACATAGGAGGTGATGGATCTTATTGTTGTGTGGGAAGAAGAGTCTGTGCAGGAAGAGCCCTGATCCAACAGAAGAAATGCTGACATCTATGCCAAGATCACGCGGGGCATGGGGGAGAAGGGCTATACCAGGAACATGCAGCAGTGCTGCATGAAAATAAAGGAGCTGTGTCAAGCGTACCAGAAGACAAGGGAGGTGAAGAGTCATTCTGGTTCTGCCCCACAGACATGCCGCTTTTATGAGGAGCTGCATGCAATTCTCGGCAGCGATCACACCACTACTCCAAAATGCTCCATAGATACCTTCCAGAAGCCCCAGGCGACCTCAAGCAACGAGGAGGACATGGTTGATGAGGAAAAGGAGGAGGAGAATGGGAGGCAGGCAAGCAGAGATCCATTTTCCACAAGAGCCAACAACTATTTAAACCTGGAGCCCATCCCTTCACAGGACCAGTTGGCGGGGGAGCGTGATGTCAGGGAAGGCACCTCTGGTGAGTACACATTTCCAATCAGACTGGACATGCTATTATTTTTTATGTTTAATCTGAACAAAAAAGTAGGTGTAGTGGGTATCGGTGGCCACTCCAGCTACGCAGAGGTGCTCTCCAAAAAAGACTGTTTATGT